TCATGATGTATCTCGCTGCATTGTGCGAGTACGCTTCTAGTTATATTATAAAGCATTTGACAAAAAAAATTTAAAACTATTTTTTATGCATTAAATACTGTTTAATGATGTATATTACTAAAATTTCAATATTACACGTATGTACAACTTATTAAAGCTTCATGTTTGAATTCGTGTAACTAACTGCAGATAAACATAATCAAATACTGGATATGTATCTCATTTAAAATATAAAAAATCTAAAATATATTTAGGATAATCATTGAATTCTAACAAAATACTAAATATTATCTCTATATAAGAATTATATTATTAAAAAAAAATGACTTCATTATTAAATCTAATCTGTACTATATTATAAAACATTTAACAAAAATTCTTACAAACTATTTTTATACATTAAATACTATTTATTGATGCATATTACTTAAAATTCAAGATTACAAGTAAATTGTCCATATGTACAACTTATTAAAGCCCCATTATCAAATCCGTGTAACTAACTGCAGATAAATATAATCAAATACTGAATAAATATCTCATTTTAATTATAAAAAATCTAAAATATATTTAGGATAATCATTGAATTATAACAAAATACTAAATATTATCTCTATATAAGAATTATATTATTAAAACAAAAATAAACGACTTCATTATTAAATCTAATCTATACTATATTATAAAGCATTTGACAAAAACTCTTACAAACACTTTTTATGCATATTATTTAAAACTCAAGATTAAAAGTAGATTGTGAGTAATTACAACTTATTAAAGCTTCATATATGAATTCGTGTAACTAACTGCAGATAAACATAATCAAATACAGGATAAACATCTAATTTTAAATATAAAAATTTAAAATATAATTAGGATAATTATTGAGTTCTAATAGAATACTTAATTATTATCTTTATAAAATGTTATATTATTAAATCTAATCTATACTATATAATTGATCATTTGATAAAAACTATTAAAAACTAGTTTATGCATTAAGTACTGTTTATTGATGTATATTACTTAAAATTCAAGATTACAAGTAAATTATTCGTATGTACAATTTATGAAAGATCCATGTTTGAATTCGTGTAAATAACTGTAGATAAACATGATCAAATATTGAATATGTATCTCATTTTAAATATAAAAAATCTAAAATATATTTAGGATAATAATTGAATTATAACAAAATACTAAATATTATCTCTATACAAGAATTATATTATTAAATAAAAAATAAATGACTTTATTATTAAATCTAAATTAAATTACAATAAAAAATAGAATTAAAGAAATTATACAAAAAATAAGAACTTTTAAATATTTAATTTGATTCTAAAATCGATACATTTTTTTTTCAAAATTTTATGATATCTTCAAATTTATATTTTATTCAAAAAAATAAAAACAATATTGTTTTTTCAGTACCATATAAAATCGTATTATAACATCGACGGAGATAGAATAAAATGAAACATTAAAATCGAGATGCATCTCGCTGCATTGCACGAATACCCTTCTAGTAAAATTTAAGGTCCTTTTTGGTTTGTAGGATTTGATAGGATTTCGAGGGATCTTAAATTCAATTACAATTCCAATCCCATGGTTGGTTTGAATGATTGTTTGGATTTGAAAATGAAGTCCCATAAACATGGGATTTAGAAATTCCATGGGAATGGTTGTATTTTATGATATTTCATAGGATTTATATATAATAATATTAAAAATATGTTGATAACATTTATTTTATAATAATTAATTAATAAAAAGGTAAGAGGAAATTACAGTTTTAGTCCTTGTGGTTTATTGATAATTTTTATTTTTGTCCTTATAGTTTTGTAATTATAATATTTATCCCTATAATTTATAATTTATAATTTTTTCATTATTATGATTTAAAATTTATTGCTTTTATCATCCCTATGGTTATAAATTATTTCTATTTTAATCTTTCATACTTAAAAGTAATGTTTTGGCCTCGAAGGCGAAAATAGAAATGAATTATATATCATAGGGATGAAATACACAATTTTTAACAAACCACAGGGACGAAAAACGTAATTTACTCAAAAAGTAATTTAATTATTTTTATTAATCTATACTATATTATAAAACACTTGACAAAACTCTTAAAAACCACTTTTTATGTATAAAATATTGTTTATTAATACATATGGAAGAGTACTCGCGCAATGCAGCGATACACATCTCGATTTTAATGTTCTATTTTATTAATTGTCTCTGTCGATGTTATAATACGATTTTATGTATTTTTAAAAAAACAATAATGATTTTATTTTTGAATAAAATATAAATTTGAAGATATCATAAAAATTTGGAAAAAAACATATAAATGTTAATATCAAATCAACTATTTAAAAGTTATCATTTTTATGTAATTTCTTTAATTTATTTTTTATTACAATTTAATTTAAGTTTAATAATGAAATAATTTATTTTTGGTTTAATAATATAACATTTTATAAAGATAATAATTAAGTATTCTGTAAGTAATTAATGATTATCCTAATTATCTTTAAGATTTTTATATTTAAAATGAGATGTTTATCCTGTATTTGATTATGTTTATCTACAGTTAGTTACACGAATTCAGATATGGAGCTTTAATAAGTTGTACTTACGCACAATCTACTTGTAATCTTGAGTTTTAAGTAATATGCATTAAAAACAGTACTTTACGCATAAAAAGTTGTTAATAAGAGTTTTTGTCAAATGCTTTATAATATAGTATAGATTACTTAAAACTCAAGATTACAAATAGATTGTGTGTAAGTACAACTTATTAAACATAATCAAATACATGATAAACATCTCATTTTAAATATAAAAAATATAAAATACAATTAGGATAATCATTAAGTTCTAACATAATACTTAATTATTATCTTTATAAAATATTATATTATTAAACCAAAAATAAATTATTTCATATTAAACTTAAATTAAATTATAATCAAAAAATAAATTAAAAAATTACATAAAAATGAGAACTTTTAAATAGTTGATTTGATATTAAATTGATATATATATTTTTAAATTTATATGATATCTTCAAATTTGTATTTTATTCAAAAATAAAACCATTTTTTTTAAAAACACATAAGACAGAGAGTAAAATTGAATATTAAAATCGATATGTGTCTCGCTGTATTGCGCGAGTACTCTTCTAGTTGTTTATAATTTGTTTTTATAAAATTGGAATTCAGATCCATTCCAAATTCTACAATTCAAATACACCAAATATTCCAAATATTTACAAATCCAAGTTCCTCCAATTTTAAATTCTTTCATGAAATCCAAATCCGTTAAAGTCATTCATCAAACCAAACCTCTCAGGGGTTTTTCCTATAATAATCAAAGTTTAAGGACTGATTACGTAATAATTACTAAACCATAGGGACCAAATCCGTAATTTACTCAATAAACAATTATGTTCATATCACAATGGTAAGACTAACGGCTACGCTATCCCCGTTTATACGTAAAAACCCAAATCCTTCCTTCCCTATTGATCGGCTGTGACTTCCGATCGATCGGAGAAACCAATCAAAACCCTAAGAAGAACCACAAAACATGCATGATTCAATCAAACTCACAAGAAAAGTTCAGAAATCTGCTGACGCTGAAGCCCTAGCAGTACAACTACGCATTGAATTTGTTTAGCCATGGGTAATAAGATCGCAAGAACGACGCAAGCTTCGGCGTCGGAGTATTACCTCCACGACTTACCCTCGTCGTACAATTTGGTGCTCAAGGAAGTGTTGGGAAGAGGCCGGTTCTTGAAGTCGATACAGTGCAAGCACGACGAAGGATTGATTCTAGTCAAGGTCTATTTCAAGCGTGGTGACTCCGTTGATCTTCGGGATCATGAGAGAAGATTATCGCAGATTCGGGAGATATTTGGCCGTATTGAAAACCCTCACGTTTGGCCTTTCCAGGTTTGCTAAATTATATACTTTGTGCCATATCAGTAAATAACCCAATGAAAGTAGGTAGAAATTAAATTATCAAATTTATTTCATTTATTAAAAGTTGAGTGTAGATTGTTCATGTTGCCATCATCAATGCTGCCAAGCTGATCACTGCTTACTTTATCATACTCCCTCCATTCCAAGATGGAGACAATACTTTGAATCAGGGTGTGAAGAGTTTGGTTCCATTAGTTTATACTTGTTATTCTATTTTCTACTTTGTGGGTCAATTTCCTGTAATCGATTACAACAATGCATATGCATCATATATATCGACCCACAGAATGAAATTGATGAATGGCAAAAGCTAATGAGCCTTGGCTTTTCTAATGACAAACTGATTTTGAACTTTTAGAGGGAAAAATGATAAATACATAGAACTCTAGCATGCAGGCAACTAATGGTATCGATGTTGCAACAAATCACTTTGGGTTTGCGTTTAAAAGCACTAGGTTGGGCTCAAAATTAAAAAGAAAGCACCTTCTTTTAAGAACAGAGGGAATGGTTGTTATGTCTACAATAGAGAAAAACAGTTCGAAAGTGTGAATCCATTTTCAATAATGGATTCTTTTATCACTGGGGAATTGGTTTAGAATTCCTATAATTTCATAATTGGAAAGTGGATGCATAATTGTAGTATGTTTTAGGTATTTATACATTCCGGCTAGATTTCCGAGGAGTTTTAAATAAATAAATGCTATGTTATGATGCAGAAGATTCATAGTGTCACAATTGATTTATGGGTTGAAGAGCACTCAATAGTATCATGATTGATAAATTGAGGTGTGCTTAAAGTATCATAAGTTATGAGAAGTTTATTCTCTATGATCCAGGTGACTCCATTATCTGGACTAATTTGGTGTAATTAGAATTCAAAATGCTACGATATTGTCGCGGCCCAAAGGTGCCAGGTGACGGAAAAGACAGATTTAGAATGGTCATATTTTCATAATTGGTAATTATAAGAATGTGTATAGTATCATCAGAAAGTTGGTGTAGAATGTCTTATGGTATAGTCTAGGCAACTCTATCATTAGGCGTATCTCCAAAGCAATCTGGCTTTTCTACTCAGAATGCTATCTTTTGCTGTGGTTCCCAAGGACATAAAAGACTGAGGAAATGCTTTTATCCGTCGGAAGTTGAAGAATGCTTAACAATATTAAGGTTGGACAATTGACGTAGAATGTTCCTTAACTCAGTGTAGGTAACTCCTTAATTTGGTCATATCTTCAAGAAATCTTTAGACTGTGTTAAGATAGTAGCATTAGATTGACCTCTCGTGAATGGCAACTTCTCATTATGTGCAAAGGTGAGAACTAACTAGCAAAACCATAAATCATGCGTATATGTGGATCAGATGAAAAGTAAGGATATTTGAATAATATAAATGTGTATATGGATTCTACTTGGTATTATGCATGAAACAATGAAATTATGTTCGAAGCAACCCCATTTTGGATTTACAAATTTCTTCCCGCATTTGTTTCAAATATATCTGCCTACTCAGAGTGGGATCTTTCTCAACTTCCTTTTTTCTAGTGTAAAAGTACCCGAGAATGTTGATGTTGAAAGTTTTGAACTTTCAGGATGAGGGAACATGCTACTTGTATTTCTGCATGCACACAGGAAATTATTTAATCACACTAGGCCATTATTGAAGCTAACTTGTTCTTCGTTATGTCCTAAAAATATCAAGAGGAGTATATTTCTTCACCCCTTTTAGGTGCCTCTGATTTTGCAGTCAAAAAGGCACAAAGGATTTCTATGACTTCTCATTTCAACAAAATTTATTTTACTTATTTTTTAATAAATGGAATGTGTTGCAGTTTTGGCTCGAAACAGATAAAGCTGCTTATTTGTTGAGGCAGTACTTCTTCAATAATCTTCATGACCGATTGAGTACACGGCCTTTCCTCAGCCTTGTTGAGAAGAAATGGTTGGCGTTTCAGGTTGACACCTTGTTTCTTAAGTTAGTCATATTGATAATTCATTGGTACTATAGTGGTACATGTTTCAGTTTTTGTATCATATCCAAATTAATTTTTTCTAAAGAGCAATCCTTATGTGTTGTTGTGTAGTTGCTTTATGCAGTACAACAGAGTCATGCTAATGGAGTTTGTCATGGTGAGCTTATTGATTTGAGGAAGTCGTTTATGTAGTCTTTATCATGTATGGTTTCTGTTGTCAGCTGCATAATATGAATACTGCAGGGGATATCAAATGTGAGAATGTGCTGGTGACTTCTTGGAACTGGCTTTACCTTGCTGACTTTGCATCGTTTAAACCAACCTATATTCCGCACGACGATCCATCCGATTTCTCCTTTTTCTTTGATACTGGAGGAAGAAGACGCTGCTATCTTGCACCGGAGGTGAGTGGTCCTTACTAAAATGTGTTCTAATACATCTTGCGTTCCAATTTATAAGTGCATTTTTGTTCTTAATTACTAAGTTAAGTGCTCTTATAATTTGGAATGGAACTACTAAATAATATCTAAAAGCACTTTTTGGCTTCATAACCGGGTATAACTCGGAAGCTGATCTACATGGGTGCATATGTGGCGCTGTTCATACTCTCCAAATAGGGTTGTTAATAGTTATAGTAGATTTTGTCCATTGGTGTGTGTGTATAATATGTTTATACGTTTCCCCCGGGAATAATATGTTCTTTGTTGGTATAGACGTATAGTAGCTAAGTTGCAATTGCATATGGCTAAAGGACCATTTAGACTTTTTATAGTGCATCCTTTATCTTTAAACAAGAAAAAAGGAAACAAGAGTTTTCTTCATGAGAACTTGTGTTGGAGGGCTTTTAGTTTATTTGTTTTCACTTTTCCAGTCCATCATAAACTGTGAATTGATGGCAGTTGTGTGATAGAGAAGCTATTGTGCTGGTGGTGTTTGCTAGATTCTGCTAGCAATGAAGGTGATGCTGCGTTGTTGGCTGGGGTTGTGGATGATTGGAGGGGTCCAAGTATGCTGTATGCATGGTAGAGTAGTATGATTTTGATTTAATGCTTGGTAGTTGGGTGTAAGATAGTGCTCGTGGTGACAATCGGAAGAAGAAAAAAACAGAGTCTACAACTCTATCTCGAAAACGAGAAGTTAACAGTTTCGGGTGTGTTGGCCTTTCTGGTCAAAGATGTTAGATGCTTTCTGTGGCAATGTTGAAAAGAAGGAAATACAAAAACCTAATAAGCTCTATGAACCATGCCAGATGGAAGATAGTCAAGTGTACAAAATTGTAAAATATCAATATATTTACTATTTTGGGGACTTCGCTGCCTCAGAAAGATGGACAAAATTTGTTTCTTTCTTCTTTTTATTGATAAATTAGACCCTTCTTGTTAGACCCAAGCCATGCTAATTGGCAATTGACTTTTAATTCTAGAAGTGTACATATTCAACTACTTGTGCATATTGTTAGTAATCAGTTTTCATCAAGTAGGGCTTTACTACTTTGTCCTCTATATGGCCGTGAGAGCATCTTTATTGTTATACAGGGTTTTCCTATGTTTTAATTGGAGGATGGAATAACTGCTTGTCTGCTTCTTTGACCTATGTTTTGCAAGCTTAAATCTTAACCATTTACACAACTACTCTGAGCTAAGTTAAAGCTTAACGCCACTCTTTCCCTGATAGCTTTGCAGCAGTTCTGGTGGAAGCTTGTGAAAACCTTTTTGCATTCACTCATTCTGCTTCTTATCTTCTCACTCTCTACTTCTCCTCAAATTTGTACTTCTTTGCTTTCTCAACAGATATAATTATAGATAGGTTTTACTGATCATGTGATTGATTTTCAGAGGTTTTATGAGCATGGAGGTGAGATTCAAATTGCACATGATGCACCTTTAAGGCCATCAATGGACATCTTTGCTGTTGGGTAAGGCTTTTGCTATTTAATTCAGCTTTTTATCTTTTTGATGCCACACATTGGTTTTTTTTTTTGATTAACCTGGATATCCAACCCGCTATGCGAGCCGACTAATCCCAGGGCGACCACCTGCTTTGCAGATAGCCCGGAGTCACCGCATTTGAACCTCCGTGGCCACAAGGGGATTTTTATTCCTCATTGTATTTGAACCTGAGACCTTCTGGTACTTTTAACCTTTGGAGCCAAGCTCAAACCAATCAGGCACCACCCTTGTTTTTTATCTTTTTGATGCCACACACTGGTTTGCATTCTCACTTCCATAGATAATAGTACAAATAAATGTATTGTAATTGGCAATCTAGTTATGCATCTGTCATCACGAGTAACGAAACCAGCAAGAAATATAGGGGGTGGCTCAATGATCTTTTGGGGTTTCACACTAAGCACCAGGTTGGACCCTCTTGTAGAAACCCTTCAAGGACTTCACTAATAAGAAAGAAGATAGAAGTTAAAGGCTTAAAGCATAAATGAATGAAACAGCCAAGTCACCCAACTGATAACCGTGTTGTATAGTTATGTGCTTGTTGCTCTTACACCTGCCTTCCTCGCATTAGGTAATTTGGCTAATTGGTCTAAGAAATGAATATATCTTATTAATTTGCTTTTGCATAAATTTTAGATTTTAAAATGTATTGACAAATACAAAAAATTATGTCTATGTCAAGTTTCTTGACTTAGCCTTGCTGCCAAAGAAACTATAAAGTTACAGTCAAATTCATCTGGCTGTTCTCTTTTACACATTCTTGTTTCAATATCAGTAGTTGCACATGCTTGAACGGTGTCATTATTATTAATTCCTTTCCGTTGTTTTTATGAAATTAGTTTCAATTTTGCTAAGCCATGGAGCTGCTGTGTAACCTAGCTATGATTGTATCTGGGAGTGCAGGGGCGGAACACGGGCCTTGTATTCTAGGGGGTGGAAGAGAATAGTTAATAGTTAATATAGATAAGTCCTATTATAAAATTAATCACATATTTAAGGCCGTGTCAGCTTTATCTATAATCTGGTGTCATCGTCAATCCGATGTCATCTAAAATGATACATTTTTCTATTTTCAAATCTACTTGGTTATAGTTTCCTTAGAACGTAGATTTTACATATATAATTCTCATAAAATATGAAAATTTCTTGATGTTCAGTTTAACAAGTAAGTATATTGTTTTGATATTTTTAGATCAGATCTTTTATACAAAAGATAGCTCGTTTATAGAAAATAATTGCATCCTTTTAATTGAACGACAAATTAACATATGTTTAATTTAATTGATAAATTACTGCAATTCTTGTCCTTTAATAATATTCTATTAACTTCACAATTATAATCACTCTATTTAATCGTTATATTATAAGAATTTCGTTTCAATATATTATGTAATGATTATATTTATCGTCAATATTTATATATAAACTTAGTATTTTATAACTATAAATCTTGTTATATAATTGTTTCACAATAAAAACATATAACTTCTATTTTAAGTTGTTATAGTGGATATGCATAACTCATACCATTATTAATTTATATATTGCATGTCTATTATCAAACAACAATAACAAATAAGAAACAATATCAACAACTAAATTCTAAGTAAGCCCTAAAATATTTAGCCTGATCACAAACAAATAATAAAAATGTAAATCCCTAATTACGGAATTCACCGTAAACATTTAGCCTTAAATAAAAAAAAAACAAATAATACTTAGCCCTAAATAATCCCAAATAATGTAAAGCCAACTAAAAATATAATTAAAATACTAAGTGAAGTCTTTTATTGAACTTGGTGCCTTGCCCTCTTGGTGAGTGATTATGTGAGAGAGGGGCCATGTAAAATTTCAAATGAAATATTACCAACTTATTGACTCATCCCTACTAAGCATAATCAAAAGCACAGGGGCCATGCCCCCCTGTAGCCATATATGCCATCCGCCATTGTGGGAGTGAAACCATCCTCTGCATTTGTTGGGGAAGGCTGTATGTTGGAGTAGAATCTAGAAATTGTGGGGGCCATTTTGTCTTTCCTTCTCTTTCTTATTGTTATCATTATAATTCTTTTTTGTAATTGTTTTCACAAGCTTCTTATGCATATGTGAAGACCTACTTTTGAAATTCAATTCATTATGGTTGTCTTCACAACACTCATGCTAAACTAGCATCGAAGACGCAACATTGATAAATTCCATCCCCTTGAAAAAGTTGTGGCATTTATTGCAGGAGTCCTACTGAAGTTGGATACAACTAATGATAATATGTGTAACTAAATATTATATACTTAAGAAAACGTGTAGCTAAAGTTGGGTTGAACTCGGCTTTATGCTAATTATTTTTGTTGAGCATGTAATGCCACAAAGTAGTTGATGCTGAAAAATGAAAGCAGAATTATAAAGGAAGGTTGAGAGGATGAGCAAACCTAGATAGGCTCGGTTACTCCGATGGCACACCTTCATGTTTTTAGTTATTCAAATCATCCTCTATGATGGCGCACTTTCATCATGTATATAGTTATTCAAACCAATGGTTGCGCTATCACATGTTCTTTTTGCAATCTATATTCCATCTTGTCTACCATCTTTTTCGTACTTCTTGAATATTATTGGTTAAGGGAAGTCCCCCCCCCCCCCCCCCACCCCACCCCTCTCTATATTGCACTTATCTGCTTGTTTCTCCAGGTGTGTCATTGCAGAACTTTTCCTTGAGGGTCAGCCCCTCTTTGAATTATCTCAACTACTTGCCTATCGGAGGGGGCAATTTGATCCAACCCAGCATTTGGAGAAGGTACACTTATCACGACTTTCCTTTGTTGGGTCTCATGTTTCCCTCTCCTCTTTATAACCCAAGTTTTATTTTAATGTTATATATGACTCATTGTGCACCTCGTCATTGTTATTTTATCATTGCATACCAAATGTATTATCAAAAGGCCACAAGATTCATGAGAAGTATCTCCCATCGTCTTAGATGCTATGAAGATATCTCTCAATTTACCATGCTAAAGTTGGTGGGGTCGTATTGAGCTTTTGTTCTTTCGTCATGAGCATAATTTATAAATCTATGGATTACATAGCCCTAATACAACAACTTACTTAAGCTCTTTTTGGATAGTGTCTTGCATCTCTTTGAGATCACATGGAAGTCTTAAAGGTAGCATCAATTTTATTTTTTTTACCTTAGCTGCGTAGCCCATCCCCTGATTGTCACTAATAGGAGGAGCCTTATTATGCTTCGTACCAAATAGTGTCCGCTTTATCCACACACCTAGACTCACGGTTTTAAAACGCGTCTAATAGAGGAGATATCCAGTCCCTTATAAGGCAACCTTAGTTTCCCTCCTCAACCAATGTGGGATCTTACAATTCTGTAACATCCCAAGCCAACCTTACCAAATATTGTCCGCTTTGTCCAGACACCTGGACTCACTGTTTCAAAGCGCGTTTGATAGAGGAGGTATCTAGTCCCTTGTAAGGCAACCTTTGTTCCCCTCCCCAACCCATGTGGGATCTTACAATCCACCCCCTTGGGATCCCAACATCCTCCCTGGCACACCAGTCCGGTTCGCGGCTCTACCATCTGTAACATCCCACATTGGTTGGGGAAGGGAACGAAGGTTTCCTTATAAGGGGACTTGATATCTCCTCTATCAGACGCATTTAAAAATCGTGAGTCCAGGTGTGTGGACAAAGTAGACAATATTTGTTACAGTTGGCGTGGGATGTTACAATGCTTCCATCTAAATTTTCTGACCGAAGCTAAAAGCTAGGTGATCCTCAGTTTCATTTGCTCCTACATGTGATGCAAGCCTTATCTTCCCCTGTGCCATTCTGTCTCAATACCTAATCTATAAAATCTTTTTGTTTGTAAATCAATTTTTTTAAAGCAGCAAACCAGATAATGAAAGAGCACGTGTTAATGTTTGTACTAGCTCTATAGCCCATAGAAGTTTCTACTCCACAATTTGGAACAAGGAATGTTTGAATTATCCCATATAGTTCTCCACTTCTCTATTTGGTCTTTTCTCTTGCTTTTGATCCTGCTAATCTTAAGATGCATCTTGTTTCAAGATTGCTGCAGCACTGGATAAAAATCCAAGCATTTTGTCATCCGTGAGAATATCATGAAAAGTTTAGGAGATGATGGAGGTTAATTTAGAGTCATGAAAATTGTTTAGACATGAACTCATATTATGTGGACCAAATTTTTGCGGGCCTGTATTTAATCTTGCAAAAAAGTTGGTTCATGCGTATAATTTGTTATACGGTCTGGTGCAGATTCCAGATTCCGGTATACGCAAGATGATTCTTCATATGATTCAGCTTGATCCTGATTTACGCTGTTCTGCTGAGAGCTACCTGCAGAGCTATGCAGGCGTTGTGTTTCCATGCTACTTCTCACCATTCCTGCACAATTTATATTCCAATTTGAATCGAAATAATTCTGATTCTCGGGTAAGATTTTCCAGAGTTTCTGTTTTCTAGTCACTAAACATTCTTTTTATTTATCTAACATGCTTGGCTATCATTAACTTTGATGCAGGTTGCACTGTGCCAGCTTTCCTTCCCAGAGATACTTAAACAGATGTTAGGAAATAGAGCTGGTGAGGAGACTGTGCATGGACTACACTTTGGAACAAATGTTACCAATCGTCGAACATCACATGCAGTGGACAGACAAAATTTGGTATCGATGAAAGGCCACTCACAGACGGAGAAAGAAAAGAAAAGATTGAGTTTTGATCATTTTGAACTTCGGGGTGATATTGGTACTCTACTTATTGATGGTAAAGAAAATACCCGTTATGCTAATGTAAAGCCAAAAATGGAGGATGCTATCTCTTCTACAAATTCTCAAAAACAGTCGGCCGTTCAATCTCCTGGAAAACTACTTCAAACTATCTCCAATGTATTTAAAAGGAATCATCATCCCTTTCTGAAAGAGATCACGATGAGTGATTTGAACTCGTTGCTATCTGACTATGACAATCAGTCAGATACGTTCGGAATGCCGTTCCTACCATTACCCCAGGATAGCATGAGCTGTGAAGGGATGGTTTTGATTGCCTCACTTCTCTGTTCTTGTATACGCAACGTCAAAATGCCACAACTAAGGAGGAGTGCGGTGCTTCTCTTGAGATCTTGTTCATTATATATAGACGATGAAGATCGGTTGCAGCGTGTCCTTCCATACGTAATCGCTATGCTTTCTGATTCAGCTGCGATTGTTCGTTCAGCTGCCTTGGAGACTTTATGTGACATTCTGCCTTTGGTCCGAGATTTTCCTCCCAGTGATGCTAAAATCTTCCCAGAGTATATTCTTCCAATGCTTTCCATGCTTCCTGATGATCCGGAAGAAAGTGTGCGGATCTGTTATGCGGGCAACATATCGAAGCTTGCACTAACTGCTTACGGATTTTTGATCCACTCAATAAGCTTAACAGAGGCAGGAGTTCTGAATGATTTAAGTTCCACTCAGAAGTCAGGAGCATCATCCCATGAAATACCCGGACGCTTGCAGAGTCAGAAAAACGATGCACAGCTTGCGCAGTTGAGGAAATCCATTGCTGAGGTTATACAAGAACTTGTAATGGGTCCGAAGCAAACTCCAAACATCAGGAGAGCTCTCTTGCAGGATGTCGGCAATCTTTGTTGGTTTTTTGGTCAGAGGCAAAGCAATGACTTTTTGTTGCCCATCCTCCCGGCATTTCTTAATGACCGGGATGAGCTTCTAAGATCGGTGTTCTTTGGGCAGATAATTTACGTTTGCTTCTTTGTTGGCCATCAAAGTGTAGAGGAATATCTTCTACCTTATCTTGAACAGGCATTAGGAGATTCAACAGAGGCTGTTATAGTCAATGCATTGGATTGCTTAGCCATTCTGTGCAGAAGTGGTTTTCTTCGCAAGAGAATACTTCTTGAGATGATCGAGCATTCCTTCCCGTTGTTATGTTATCCAAGCCAGTGGGTAAGGAGGTCAGTGGTAACCTTCATTACAGCAAGTAGTGAGAGCTTAGGTGCTGTAGATTCCCATGTTTTCCTCGTTCCACTTATTCGCCCTTTTCTTCGTCGAATGCCAGCTTCTTTAGCGTCTGAACGAGCTCTTTTTTCATGTCTAAAACCCCCCGTGCGCAGACAGACGTTTTACCAAATCTTGGAAAAGAGCAAGAGTTCGGATATGTTAGAAAGGCAAAGGAAGATATGGTACAACTCATCTGCACAATCTAAGCAACCGGAAAATGTAGACATGTACCAGAAAGGAGTTGGAGAGTTGGATCCAATGAAGATGTGGTCTGATAGGCAACATGATCTTCTTGGTCATCCACCTGTAAGTAGCATTCAGCCATTTGGGCTTATTGAAAATGACACCGAGGCTAAGTTGAGATCAGCGAGTAGTTTCGCTCGTAATGCTTCTGGTACAGTTGACATCCACGATCCCCTGTTTTCAGATAAAATGAAGTTCTCTGGCTTTATGTCCCCTCAACTAAGCGTTGTCAACAGTTTGATTGGTGATAAATCATCAGAAGGCATACCATTGTACTATTTTAAATACGATAAACGAGCAACTGGAAATGCTTCAACTGCATCTAACTCTTCATTACCCATAGATCCTTTAGGTTCTGCTTCATTATCCATGCCGTGGATGGATCCAGTTAACAAGTCATTTACGTTGTCTAGTTCAGTTCCTTCACCTGGGCTTGTTTCTAGCTCAATTAGCATCGGTAATAGTTCTCCACAACTTCACCGAGTGGTTCACGAGTTGGAAGACAGGGAATCGGATAAAACAGCCTATCTCAGCAACAAGTTTAATGACATGGGAGTTTCTAATTCTTCAAAAGGAAGTTCTATTGGAGGGGCTGATAGCTCCCCTCCTACCGAGGTAGCAGGATTGCCATCTTTTTCTCGAACACCAACAACTCCAGATTCAGGTTGGAGGCCTCGTGGTGTTTTAGTTGCACACCTCCAGGAACACCGTTCTGCCGTCAATGACATTGCCATTTCAACAGACCAAAGCTTTTTCGTTACTGCATCTGACGATTCTACTGTTAAGGTGTGGGATTCAAGAAAGTTGGAGAAAGATATTACTTTTAGATCGAGGCTAACTTATTCTCTAGAGGGTAGCCGAGCACTATGTACTACAATGCTCCATGGCTCTGCCCATGTAGTTGCCGGAGCTTCCGATGGCACGATCCATACGTTCTCGGTTGATTATGTCTCCAGAGGACTCGGCAATGTTGTAGAAAAGTATTCTGGAATTGCTGACGTTAAAAAGAGTAACATCGGAGAAGGTGCAATTCTCACCCTCTTAAACTACTCTAAAGATGGCGATGATGGTAAAATGATTCTGTATAGCACCCAAAATTGCGGGATCCATCTCTCAGATATGAGAGAAAATTCCAACTCATGGAATACAAAAGTAATTCCTGAAGAGGGTTATATATCTGCTCTTGTGGCAAGTCCTTGTGGAAATTGGTTTGTTTCTGGGTCTTCTAGGGGCGTGCTTACTTTATGGGATCTGAGATTTGGTATACCCGTCTACTCATGGCAATATTCGGGTGCATGCCCTATAGAGAAAATGTGTCTTTTTGTTCCTCCTCAAAGTACATCATTATCTATAACAGTGAGGCCGCTTGTATATGCTGCAGCAGGTTGTAATGAAGTTTCTCTTTGGAATGCAGAAAATGGGAGTTGTCACCAGGTATGACGTTAATTTTTAGTTTTTCTTAAATAACTTGTTATTTCCCACCGGGGGATAGAGACATAGGGCCTGTTTGTTAGCAGCTTAATGAGACTAGCTTATTGGGTCAGTTATTACACAACTGTTTGGTAGTAGCTTAATGATATAGAAAGTGGCTTATTCAGTAAGCTTCTTTGGGAGCTATATGCAGAAAGCCAAATTCTTTTTTCAAACCTGTTCCTCCCAATTAAAGAACATGTTCCTTCCATCTATGAGAAAACCCTCCCAAACAAAAACTTTTGCAGTTTATACAGACAAATCACACAGACAACTTTATCCATACATGACTTAATGGAAAACCAACCAAACAGCCCCATAGAGTGGTTTATGAAAAGCTATCTTAGGTGAAGAATTCTTTGTAAAGTGGCAAATATTGTATGGCAGTTCTCAAGTGTATTTGTATTTTTGTGGGTGATCGACCATGGTTCAATTAAACAATAGATTTACGTAGAAAATTGAAGATTGGAGAAAACAGTTTGCTTATGCTTTTAAGCATTTTTCTTTTATCTTTTTAAACATCTTTTACAATTTTTCCAACCCACTTAACATACTGCTGCTTTTTTCTCTCTCTTATAGGTACTGAGGCTGGCAAACAGTGACAGTGATGCTGAGATTTCCGAGCTTCCTCGGGCTTTGGCTAGACCACCTAGCAAAACAAATTCTAAAGGAGATGCACGCAGGAGTGCAAATTTCAAGTACAGAGTAGATGAGCTGAATGAACCTCCTCCTCGGTCGCCTGGAATACGCTCATTGCTCCCACTACCCGGAGGCGATTTGCTAACAGGCGGAAGTGACCTTAAAATACGACGATGGGATCACTACAGGTTTGTCTCTTTTACTTGTGTTTATCTCGTCAATACTCGAGTTATGAGTTATGACTGATCTCAACTTCTTTAATACTACAGCCCAGAGAAAAGTTATTGCATTTGTGGTCCATCCATGAAGGGAGTTGGAAATGATGATCTTTATGAAACAAAATCTAGCTTCGGGGTGCAAATCGTGCAGGTTAGAAATGATGGATCTTTATGAAACAAAATCTTCTGTATCGCTTTATGATTAAACTGAAGTCACAATTAAATGAGTATTTTTAAGTTGTAGTTATATAAGATATATACATAATTCTTGAAATGAAGTTACAAACTCATAAGATTTGAAGATAAAGATTATTCCTACTCATGATTAAAATCCTTCCCCCAAACGACCCTTTAGTCATACACAGGGGTGGACCTACACAGAAGGGTACGGTGGTATGGGCCACCCCTTCATGGTTCCGTCACAAGGGAAAAATTGTGTTTATGAAGGGTGCCCGCGTATTATTTTTATTGGGTGCCACCATAATAATTTTTGAAACTGAAATTTTAGTGCAGGTCTTTAATGGTGGAGATGGTAAATGTTCCCACCTTTGTACATAAGTCCCGGGTTCGAGTCCCACCGGTGTCAAAATTTGTCAATTTTTAGCTTAATTTGGTGTTTTTTATATAAACCTCGTGTGTTTTTTAAAATATATGTAGATAGGACTCGAACATGGGTCTCTTCAATGCAGGGACAAGGAACCAACCAACAGATCTATGCTAATATTGTGAAATCTTCTTTTATATAGTGTTTTATAGTCAAATTGTGTCACCACTTAAAAAAATCTGGGTCCGCCTCTGATCAAACATATCTCCGATTGCAAAATTATTCAACTCTTCATTTGTATCAACTATCTATTCCTACGATCCCACTAGGCATAACATTTGGGGCTGTTTGGTTGGTTTTTCATTAAGTCCTATATGTATAAAGCTGTCTGTGTGGATTAATCTATCTGTATAGATTGGGAAGATTTTTGTTTGGAAGAGTTATCTTAATAGATGGAAGGAGTGTGTTTTTTAATTGGGAGAGACGGGTTTGGAAAAAACTTGGCTTTCAGTAAAGCTCCCCCTAGAAGTTTACTGAATAAGCCGCTTTCTATATCATTAAGCCACTACCAAACAGTCATGTATAGCTGACCAAATAAGCTGTGAGTCTCATTAAGCTCATTAGTGAAATTACTTATCTGATGTGTTATATAAATCTGAGATGAGTTTTACTTCTTTCTTATAGGAGACAAGAAGACGGCCTTTGGCAACTAGGTTGACTGGAAAGGCGGTTCTTGCAGCTGCTGCCACCGATTCTGGTGGTTGCCACCGTGACTCCATTCTCTCTTTGGCTTCTGTCAAATTGAACCAGAGACTATTGATCTCAAGCAGTAGAGATGGCACCCTCAAGGTTTGGAAGTAGATCACCTGATGAAAAAAGCTTAGTTGTATATATTTAGCGATAGTAATGCCTTAAAACCGTACATTTTATTTGGTCAACAATAAGATTACACGCCCTGTTTTTAGCCACGATAATAGCTTGCAACACATATGATGACTCCCCTGCTTTATTCGTATAATGTGTAATTAGTTTGGTATATAAAGAAATTATGTCCCTCTTCACTGGTTTTCATGTTTAATAGAATTTGAGCAATGTCTGGTCATAATCATTTCTTTATGCACATGTGCATACCGGAGACATGATGGTTATTAGGATGCTCCTCAGTTTTCCATTTTTTGTAATTTTCCGCTGAACCTGAGTCTATGTATATGTATCTAAGATGGCATCATTTTTATCAACCCTTTGTGGTATGCATTTTGTTTTGGTGCCTCCCATTATCGGTCGTTAAATTCCAGTCGTTAAGTGGCCATGTAAGGGCAATATGGTCATTTTACCCTAGAAGTGTGACATTGGAATGATGTGACATCTGATGTTGTAGGTAAGATATTGTTTTGTAGACAACTTATGAAAAAATTGTTGTATGACATCCATAAATTCAAGGTGAATAAAAACATAGCAGGTGCTTTCTACCAAGGTCTTCCACAGAGTCTTTTCATCAGCAGCCTTGTAACTTGTAAGTGTTTGCTCTCCCTACTCTCATTTTCTTAAGGTTGACTTTTCCACATTTATGGTCATCTTTGGTTTCTTCCATTGCCTGAAAAGCTAACTTCTGCAAGGTTTTAATAGGCGGAATCGGGACTCGAAGCAAAATCCCCGAGGCGGAAATATATACACACAAACATATGTAAATATACTACTCATATATATATATATACACACACACACACACATATTTGTGTGTATATATATGGGCAAGTTCATTTAGGAACTCATGAACCACCCTTTTTTTGAGGATTCATGATGAACGTCATAATAAAATATTCATGTTGAATGTTGTGACAGATATTCATTAGGTTCCTACTCCTATATATACATATTATATATATATATACATATATATATATATATATACATATTATCTATATATATATATAATATTAAATTACTAAGAGGCTTTGGTTAGTGGTTTTTGCTAGAGGAAAAAGTAAAACCATGAGATAGGCTAAGAGTGGGAAAATTGGTTGCTTGGATGAAGAAGGGTTAAACCGTACTTTTTGATTGAAGGGAGAAAGTACTAGTTTTTTGGTTTTAAAAATACACATTGGGCTTAGACTTTTTTTTTTTAAATTAAAAAATATTATAAAGAGAAGTACTACTACTGCAGATCCTCTGAGGCGTACGCCTCGACGTTGCCTCACGCCTCACTAAACTGGCTTACTGAACCAAGGCGTAAGCCTTGTTCAGGGTCCAAGAGGTGTCGCCTTAGGTGCTGTTTTGGGCCGCCTCGCCTTGAAGCATACGCCTCAAACGATTTTAAAAACCATGAACTTCTGCATGTTCAATCTTTGCTAACATGAACTTGGATAAGAAATTCTAGGAGCAGAGACGTGAAGTAATACTCTACCTTTCCAAGTTCTAATATACATGTTTTTCTCTTTCATATACTTTTCACAAGTTGGAGGTTATTTATGGAAAGAGTCACTTTACTTTTCAAGGTAAATGTCAGATATGTGTACTAAACGTCACCTCCGGGTCATTTTGGTTTTGTTACATTATTGTTCTCCTAACTGTTTAGCGTCTGTTTCTTAACACCTTAAGTAGTTCTAATCGGGCCCTATGGGGCCCAGTTTCGAACTAGTCCTGATCTTTCTGGTGTAACCGATTATATTTGGTCATCTCTACCTGTTTATTAATATCCTCCTCACATATATCAATTTCAAGACACCCTTTTTTTTATTTTTCCAGTATATGATTTGATCTGATTTAACATAAATAGATATGTATATATAACATCCTTTTTAGCAATGTAATCAAGAACTAAAGGTTAGAGAAGATGAGTAGGTGCTTGCCACTACAACTCAATTAGCTTTTAAGGAAAAAGAGACGATGTTTTAAAGGGTCATTTGTCTAGCAGTACATCACTATCACCACCATCATCACCATCGACGTCGTTACCACCTCCACCTCCACCCCCACTATTGCTGTTATATTCAACAAACCAAATAGAAAGATTCAAATTCTTTTGACATATTCCATTTCAATTTCTGTTAGCCAAATGTATGGTCAACCATGAGCAAATTTTGTTCCAATTCGTTTGACAAATTCCAATTCTGACATATTCCATTTTATGAACCAAACACTATTTTAAAGTTAGGTCACACTAGTTTTGGGATTTCCAAGAGCAATTATAGACCGATTAGGGGTTCTTTACCAAATGTTTACCTGAGTAAGTGCTTACCGACAAATTCAATACTGTCACTTACTTACCGGATAAGATTTTAGTCTGCCAAACCAGTATCGTATGCAACAATTTACTCGGTAAGTGCTAACTGTGGTAAGAGTTGTCACCTTCACTTACCCGGTAAGACTTTTGGCCCTTGCCTTTGCTCTTACCGGATAAGATTATTGGTCATTCCATATTCATTCAGTAAGGTAATGTGAATTGATAAACACTTATCCGGATAAGCGTTTGGTAAATGGCTACTAAACTCGTATTGTTTACATCTTAAACATTGTATATTTGTACATTTTACCACCTTTATTAATAAATTAGTTTAGGTATTCGTGAAATGTGTTGATGTTAAACTTTTTTATAAATCAAGGGTATGAAATTTATGCTCGTTATGAACTTTAAAATTTATAATTAAAATACGATTAAATTTAAAAAAAAAATGAAACTTTAAGTTAAATGTAATTTTAAACGTCAAGAAAGAACTTAAAGTTAAATATTGTTTTAAAAAAAAAAACAAAAGTTATATTATTTTATAATATTATTAAATAAAAAATATTCAATATTAAGCTCACTTTGGATGTATTTATGAGATATCATAATGATATAATCTGTAAAAAAAATAATATTAATTTTAATGTATTTTAGTTAATATATAGGTATGTATTTAAATATGACTAGAATGATACTTGCGCAATGCAGCGAGATACATTTTGATTTTAATATTTTGTTTTATTTTTTTTATCTCAGTCGATGTTATAATATGGTTTTATGTGATTTTGAAAATGCAATAATCTTTTTTATTTTTGAATAAAATATAAATTTAAAGATATCATAAAAATTTGACAAAAATATATCGATGTTAGTATCAAATTAACTATTTAAAATTTATTATTTTTTGTGTAATTTTTTAATAATAATTTAATTTAGGCTCAATACGAAATAATTTATATCTGGTTTAGTAATATAATTTTTTTATAAAGATAATAATTAATTATTTTGTTAGAACTTGATAATTATCCTAATTATATTTTAGCTTTTTAATATTTTAAAACAAGATGTTTATCCTATATTTGATTATGTTTATCCGCAGTTAGTTATACAAATTCGAATATGGAGCTTTAATAAGTTGTACTTATGCTCAATTTACTTGTAATCTTGAATTTTAAGTAATATGCATCAATAAACAGTAATTCATGCATAAAAAATAGTTTTTAAGAGTTTTTGTCAAATGCCTTATAATATAGTATAGATAAGGATGTAAAATGAAAAACTAAAAGTAAGAGATATAAATGTAAGTTTTAAGAATAATTCATTACAAATTTATGCTATTTAATAATATGATTAAATCTAAAAATATTCAATATTAGTCTCATTTTAAAGGTATTACTAAACTGATTATAATGTTATAATTTGTAAAAAAAAAACATATTTTTTTAATATATTTTACTTCATGTACAATTATTGTGTTAATATAAGGGTGTGAAATAAAAAATTAAGGATATAAAATAAATTAAATAACTAATTATATGAATATAAAACGTCATTTAAAAGTTAAAAAAAATGATTTTTAATATAAGAGGTTTTTATGGAAGACTAGAAAGGTATTCGTAAAATGCAGCGAGATACATCTTGATTTTAATTTTTTCATTTTTTTTTGTATCAGTCGATGTTATAATACGATTTTATGTGGTTTTGAGAAAACGATAATGTTTTTAAGTTTTCAATAAAATATACATATGAAAATATCATAAAAAATATTGATATTAGTACCAAACTAACTATTTAAAATTCTCGTGTTTTTTCTATATTTCTTTATATTTTTTTTAATTTTTGGTTTAATAATATAATTTTTATAAAGATAATAATTAAGTATTTTGTTAGAACTCAATGATTATCCTAATTATATTTTAGATTTTTTATATTTAAAATGAGATGTTTATCCAATATTTCATAATGTTTATCTACAGTTAGTTACACAAATTAAAATATGAAACTTTAATAAGTTGTACTTATACACAATTTACTTGTAATTTTGAATTCTAAATAATATGCATCAATAAACACTACTTCATACATAAAAAAATAATGATTTTTTAAAGTTTTCGTTAAATACTTTATAATATAATATAGATTGTGCGTTAAAAACTAATCCATTCTTAAAATTCTAACACTTAAATGTTGTAAATGCTTATTAATATAATGCGGATAATGTTATAAAATTAATATTTGACATATAATATATAATGTGCACACAAAAAAGTTAATTATAAAGTTATAAAATATTTAACCACAAGAGTGGTGTCTGATTGGTTTGAGCTTGACTCCAAAGGTCAAAAGTATCAGGAGGTCCCAAATTCAAATCCAAGGAGGAATAAAAATCTCCTTGTGGACACGGAGGTTCAAATACGATGACTCCGGGCTATCTGCAAAGCAGGTGGTCGTCCTGGGATTAGTCGGCTCGCATAGCGGGTTGGATATCCAGGTTAATAAAAAAAAGTTAATATTACAAAAAGAAAGGATTAGATAGATGGACCAACCATAAAAAATCAGTTATATCAAACTCAGGAGTCGTTTACCAAATACTAATCAGATAAATGTTTTATTGGATCATTTATCTTATCGAATAACATGATAAGAACCGAAAATCTTATCAGAAAATCATATGCTAATAAATCAGTCATATGCTAACATGGCCACAAAAAAACAAAAACCAATGTAAACACATTTAACAAGTCATTAGCTTTTATTCATCAAAATACCCAAGAAAGTTCGAGTAAATTACGTTTTTCATCTGTGTGTTTTGTTGAAAACTGCTACTTTCGTTCTTATACTTTTAAAATTATGATTTTTAATATATATATATATATATAGGGTTGGGTTCACGTGAGACCAAATGTTTTTCGTGAGACCCATAAGATCAATTTATGTTCATTGATCAACTTTATAAGCTAATGATATAATGATCTAAAATTGCACTGTGACAATTTTGTGATTATTGAGAAGTCT